CACTCAGCAGATAACTGTGAGTGCTGGGATTGCGGGTGTGCACCACCGCCACCAACCCAGCTAGACACGCTTTCCTCCCGGAGCTCTCCGCCCAGCTTTCTGGAAGCAGGTTCCTCTGCAGTTGCGAGGATTAAATGAAGTGACTTATTTTATGTGCTTTGGACAATGCGAAACTATGGCCTAAATGTAAAGGAAATGTCCCGCTCTACTGCAGCTTGCTTTGGACAGGAGCCTCCGATTCTGTCTTCCTCTAAGGGATCAGCATTCCTACTGATCCCCCACTCCCCAACATTCCAGTCTTTACCCTTGAATACTAAAACACAGACTATGTTCACCTCCCTACCCCAGTTTTCTGATTTATAGCTCTGCTGTAGAATTCTATCGAAGACGAATATCTTTTTATTTTAAAGATCTCTTTATTCACTATGGATACAGTATTCTGTCTGCATGTATGCCTGCAGGCCAGAAGAGGGCACCAGATCTTGCTACAGATGGTTGTGAGCCACCATGTGGTTGCTGGGAATTGAACTCAGGACCTCTGGAACAGCAGGCAGTGCTCTTAACTTCAGAGCCATCTCTCCAGCTCCAAAGACAAATATCTTTAAAATATTTGTTTTCAAATTTATTTTTTTCTATTTTAAGACATTCTTGATTTTTATTTTTAAATATTATTTGTTGTTAAAAATTTTACTCGCCTGGGTGTTTTGCTTGCTTGTATGTATGTGCATTCTGTGTGTGCCTAATACCAGCCAAGGACAGATATCCTGGAACTGGAGTTACAGGTGGTTGTGAGCCACCATGCGGGTACTGGGACGGAACCTGGGTCCTCTGGAAGATTGGCCATTGTGCTTGCCTGCTGAGCCATCTCCCCCGCTGTCACGTAATTTGATTAATTATATATTTAAAATAATTACATCATTTCCCCCTTCTCTCTCCTCCTTCCAACCAAACACATGGCCTCTTTTTCTTTAATTATTGTTTCTACATATATACCTACATATAAATGCAGAAGTTTATCTAAACTATTTTAAATGCTTTTATATTTATGTGTTTATTTGCATGCATCCGTGTATACAGGCAAACGTGGCCCCGCATGGCTGTGGAGGTCAGAGGACAACTGGCAGGGATCATTTCTCCCCTTCCACCATGTGGGGCCCAGGGGCCGAACTCGGGTCGGCAGGCTTAGTGAAAATGCCATCTCCCCCTCTCCCAGCACCCTTTTTTATTAACTCAACAAATTGGTAATTCACATTAAAGGAACATGCACACTATAAAACACGAATTACTAATTCGCTGTTATTACTGGCACAGGACTGCTGTAGTGTGTTGTCTTTAGAACGTCACTAAGAGGGCTGGGATAATAGCACCTGTTACTCTTACGGCCTGGGGGGGGGGGGTCTGGGTTAGGTTCCTGCATCCACATGGTGACTCACAACCATCTGAGCACCAGGCATGCACATGGCACATACACATACATGTAAGCACAACACTAATACATATAAAAACAATTTTTAAAGCAATAAAATAAAACGTTGCTAAGAAGCCACGTGCCATTCCCATGATCTTTTAAGTCAGCTGAAGAGCTTAAGAAGCAGGGGATCCTTCGGGCTTATCCGATTCCCGGTATTAATTTAATCTCTCCACCCGCAGGCCTGGACCAGGCTCCTGAAGACACAGACCACCAGCTGCCCACAGAGCAGCCTCCAGGCAAGTGCTCCATCCCCCCACCCCCACCCCATCCTCCTCCCTTGTGGCCATCCTGCCAAAGACTTAGCTGACCCCCATAGGTCCCCACAGGTCTCTTTTCTTCTTTCCTAACCTAATCTGGTTTAGCTCTTTTTTGCAATGCTGGGATCAAACCTAGGGCTATGCCTGTGCACGCCACACAACCACATTGCAGTATAGCCCCAGTCCCAGTTTCTTTTTGTTTTTGAGACAGGGTCTTGCCATGAATTTGTAGTAATCTTACCCCAGTCTTCCAATGCTGGATTTACAAGTATGAGCCCTCGTGCCTGGCACAATTTACTTTAATGCTGTATTGCATAGGCTTGCAGGTGTGTACTTGCACGTGTGTGTGTGTGTGTGTGTGTGTGTGTGTGTGTGTGTGTGTGAAGGAGGAGGCATCAGTGTGTGTGGGGGGGAGAAGGGGTGAAAAGACTAAGAGCACTGGCTGCTCTTCCAG